GCTTCTTCTTATGGCAAAGTTCTCTAAGGTTAGCATAATAGACAAAATTTTTATTCGCCTTCGAATTCATATTTTCGAAGTTTCGATTTTCTGCGACTATTTTGAAAACCTAAATGAAGCGGATGAAGCTTTCATTCAAAAGCCGTAGCTTCAAGCTCTTGTTCGTCCCTAGAATGTTGCCTCTGAGAATGCCAAGATCTAGAAGTGACGCTGGACACATGTTTCTTCAGAGTGTTTACATTATAACTGAAACAACGACCCTGTTTAGCTTTCCTAGGAAATATAAGGTTTCTATTCATTTCTAAAACATCCGAGGTCAGAAAGTTGTTAGGTTGCGAGGAAAACTCGTCTATGCCGTGTTGTGACATCAAATAGTATTAGATACCTCTAGCGTCGACGGCAATTGCGAAAATGCTTCCACTGCTCCGATGGTGATTATCATTCTGAAATAGGAGATAGAATTTTTGGCGCTATCGCAACATACGGGATCATTCTCCAGGACTAAGCCTAGGAGGAGGCAGGAGCTCCAGGAAATGAAAATGGCTCACGCACCTTGGAGTCTCTCCTCCCCGCCTAAGGCTTAGTCCCGTTTTCAACAAAAAAAGACATGTTTTACGCGGTTTCAAATGCATTGCCGTCACAATGCCCCCGTATATTGCGATAGCGCCACTTTATCGGATAATCGGATTTTACTTTTCCACCTCATTTGCACTTTCAAAGCCCTTCGCGCCTCTGCCCAGTTACCGCATGCAATTTGCTTATCCACTGGCTAGTGCCTCGCCGTTGGACTCTAGAACTCCTAAGGAGAGAGGCGGAACATGGCTTCACATGATGACCGAACCCGTTGATGACGCTAAATCTCGTCCAGAGCGGAAACCAACGGGAAATCGTTAACCATAGTTATCACAGCTGGGCCATTTAGCACCTCTACTTTCACCCTAAAATGGGCATTTTAGAGTTCCATTCAGGTCGGCCTGGAAAGACGTAAATTCCGAAGGCCTCTAAGTATTAGCCCGAGCTTGAAAGCCCCTATTATCCCGCTTCAGATGGAATGCATGAGTTATAGCATGTGAAAAGAAGAACAACAATTTTTGCGGGCGAACTGAAAAACTCACCGATCAATAATTATGCTTCGTAAGGCGGTGGCGGTGGAGGCAAGTGCTTCGATGACAGCTTTTGTTAAATGATGTTCACTTGCAAATACAGAGTATTTTTCGTTTTTCGACGTCACCCGAAAGATAACCCGTCTCAGTCGCCGACTGCATAGTTCTGAAATACAAGCAATTATGTTTCTGAAAGGAAATTTAGACAGTTTGTAATGAATGACCTGTGGAAAACGATGGAGGCAACAAAGAATTTTAGGGGTGAGGAATTGCTTCTGGGAGATTCGCACTCGCGTAGGCTTACAAAGCTTCCCATCAACAGGTTGATTTGTTTACTGGGACCAAACTCACGTGTCCGACTCCCAGAAAGGAGACTAAGCCCTTCTTTGAACCC